GAGACTTTAGTCTTTGCAACTTTAGGGATCTTATCTATTCACGAACAGCTTGTAACACTCCAAAGAGAAAGGAAAACTTGAAATCGCATCATATGACCCCTTTAAGACTGAAGGAATAAAACTGTACCGAACACACAAAGGCAAAGCAGCATGATTCAAACGCCAAACTGACAGCTGAGGGTACACAGTAAAAGCACCGCAGTGGTTTTTCATAACCTGACATACAACCTACAACTTCACACAGGGTCAGACCTGGTTGAAACTAGTCTTGCTGATGTTCCTGCTGTGACCAGGGTGGGTAAACAAAGCGTAGTTTCCCCTGAGACGCCCAGCGGCTGTAAATGAGCTTCTCTGTGATGAAGCGATGGCCGCCCCTCTTGGCATGTTCGTGAGTGCGGTACATGCGGCACTCATCCAGACGCGACGGCTTGTAGTAGTGGTACGGCACAAACGAGTGGTTGGCGTTACTATAATCAAGCCAAACCCCAGAAGTTAGTGAAGAAATATCATTTTACAAAAGAAACAGGCAAAAATGCATAAATGTTTAGATATTCTGTAGTCCATAGATATGCATAGTCCAAATCAAGCTCACAGGATGCTAAATTCATAACAAAATATACTTAATTAATTATATTAATTTAATTAATGTTATATTCATTTATTATTATTTATCATATTAATGTATTATTTCTAAATCTCTAAATGATTCTAAATTATTTCTAGTCTCTCTCTCTCTCTCTCTATATATATACATAAATATTATATTAATATTTTGAATATTAATAAAAAAATTAATATTCACTTCAAAATATGAATCTATTCATTATATAATATACTGAGCTATAAATACATGTGTAAAATTCTACAGACCATTAATTCTATAAATTGTTTTTAGTACAGAGGAGATACAATTCTATATATGTGACCCTGGACCAAAAAAGCAGTCATAAGCAGCACAGGTATATTTGTAGCAATAGCCAAAAATACATTGTATGGGTCAAAATGATTGATTTTTCTTTTATGCCAAAAATCATTAGGATATTAAGTAAAGATCATGTTCCA